CACACACACACACACACACACTTAAATTTGTGACAGCGGTAATAACTGGAGTTCATTGTTTTCTTGCCTCCCGTTTCTGCCCTGTAGGACAACAGCTTTGAGCAGTTCATCATCAACTACTGTAATGAAAAGCTGCAGCAGATCTTTATAGAGCTGACTCTGCGTGAGGAGCAGGAAGAGTATGTTAGAGAGGTAAGTGTGTATATTTACACATTCCCTGTACTCGTTTATTGAGCCATTTAGGTGTGCAAGTTGAAACCATTGAGTAGATTACCTCTCAACTCCTTCCTTTCACCTATGTTGATTTATACATCTTTCAACGTGTCCGGACCTAGTTTGTTGTGTTGACGTTCCATTATGGCAGGCCCCCGCAGCATTGCCTCATTCTGGTCATGTCATTAGTTTAACCTTCTATCCCACAGAAATCTGCATTGTTGTTCTTGAAGCAAAGCATTTTAGCTTCTCCTCTTGTTTTGTATCCCATTTCCTACACGCCAACATTTCCCATTCTGCACATTCGCAGGGACGGAAATGATCCCTCACTCTGAGAGTAAACACTCCCAATTGTGGACCCTTAGGCTCTGTTTGTTTTTAAAGCTCCCAAGTATGAGTGCAGCAGCGGTGACCCCCACAACCCCCTTCTTAGTAACGCCACTGCCAATGAAATTTCACCACTGGCTTCTGTCCAGTATACTGCATGGGAAAATACCAAAGTGCTGGAGGAAGAAAAAGGGGAGGACTACATATAAGAATGTGACCAGTCACCCATTGATTTAAGCCACACCTCCTTTGCCCCCCTTCTCCCCACCACCACCGTCACAAACTAACATTAATAACTTATTTGCACTGCTCCTAATCAGCCCCAACTCTGCTCAGCTCAGCCTGGATTTTCATCTGCACTTTAGGACTGATTCTGGAGGCATGTCCAGAATCCAAAATCCTGCTGAGTTAAACTCAAAGCAGTCTGCTCCTCTGATAAATTATTTTTATATATGAATGTTTCTGTTAACTTATTTTATAACTTATTTTATATATGAAAATGTCTGTTCAGTGCCCTGAGATGACTTCTTTTGTGACTTGGCGCTATACAAATAAATTGAATTAAATCTGATGATCCAGAGCCTACAAAAACATTGATATTTAAAATTCTATATTTTTCTTCATCATTTGATGTATTTGCACTCATTGTGGTTTTGTTTCTTGTATACAGATTATTTTTAGCTGTGATTTAAAGCTTAAAGTGTAACTTTTGTTTTGTGATTTGTACATCTGTGGGTTAGAATAAAGTTAGAACTAAAGGCCGTAGCTCTTCTTTGAACATATTTGAGGGAAATATTCCTGAAAGACCCAATTTTCTTTTATGGTTTTTCAGCTGAGTTAACTAACATATTAATAAAGTCAAAGTGAAAATGGTATTTGATGATGAAGCCGGCACAGTTTTAGTTTTAATCTTCACTGATAAAAAAAAAAAAAAAAAAAAAAAAAAAAAAAAAAAAAATTCCACCCTTCGTCCCAGTCGTCCTACCTGCCAGGGCTCGGAATCCGGTCTTAGTGAGCACGCAAGGCTGGGGCTCGGGGTCCGGCCTCCCGTGCTTAAACGGGTCTGCAGCTCATGATCTTCCAGTGACTCCGTTGCCTCAGAATTTGTCGTAGGTCACCAAACACAAAAAAATGCCTGGACTTCAGAAATAAACACGGGTGTTGTCGTTGTTTTTAAAATCTTAAAAATAGATCCAGCCACTGCTGTGTTCTGAGAAAATGACAATTGCAAATGGAGGATCGGTGAAAAGTTTGAGATCCAGTGACTCCTCCCCATGACCAATTAATGTCCTGCATTCACGTTTCGGTTTTGAGTCGGCTCAACTCTGCTCAAACGGTCCCACCAGAGAAGCAGGGAAGAAAAAAGGTCCTGAATCAGCCTCTAATCAGCTAAACGTACTAGCTAAAGTATTGGTGCAAAAGGGTTCTTTCCTTGGCAGGTTGCGCAGAGTTGAAGCTTATTAGGAGCAGTGCAAATAAGCCATTATATACCTTACTGGTTACTACAAGAAATGGTTACCCAAACCATGCACAAAGCTGTGTGGTTTGTTTAATCAAATGTTTAAACAAACGCCATGTTTTAGATTTACTAAGAACTAGTTTCTTATTCTTCACTTTTTGCAATTTGCAAAATATGTTCAAAGAGGCCTTGGGCTAGGTTCCCTGGCTTATGTCTGGACTACTTGATTTAATTTTAAAACCTTTTTTTATCTTTATTTTTTTACTTGTGAAAAAAATGGTGATGGTGATGATTCACACAACTTATAGTTTCTAATTGCAATGTGCAAACAACATGATGGTGTAGAGGTAGGGCAGCCGACTTGGGACCAGAAAGTCGCAGTTTGACTACCAGTCATTCCCACAGGTTGTGTCTCGGAGCAAGACATCCAATCCCTAATTGCTCCCCGGGCACTCACTAGCTGCCCACTGCTCCACTTGGGTGTATCCCAGGTGTGATGGGTTAAATGCAGAGAACCAATTTTGTCATTGTATGGCAACATACATTGGCAATACATAGCACTTACTTAGACTTGCTTTCATATAGAAAAATGCAATATACTGGTTATTTAATAAATTGATCAGTTTATGTAAAATCTGAGATTTAATGCGCTACAGGTTGTATCATGTCTATCAGTTCTGTCAGAAACTGCAGAGATCTTTTTTTTTTTTAATCTTTAGTGCAGTCATTTTTGGAGCTAAACGAATGAGTTTATTTTCCAGCTCGCTTAAGGCCAAGTATCTAACCACAACTGAAGTGTCATTTTTATCTTTGCTTCAGTTGGAGGAGTCTGCCTGGTGTTTGAGTAATATATAAAGCCATTGTACCTTTTTTTTAACCTTTATGCTTTGTTGCAGGGCATCGAGTGGACCAACATTGAGTATTTTAACAATGCGATTATCTGTGACCTCATTGAGAATGTAAGTCGGCTCCTCAGTCCTTGGAAGTCATACAGGCTCAATCACTATACATTAATTTCATTCAAGGCTATTTTTGAGTAAAATACCAAAATAATGAAGATAAAAATGGTATATTTTAAAAGTGTTTGACAAGCTAGACTAGTTCGTTTATAAAAATATATTCTGTATTTTTCATGCCGTTTTTTGTGTGTACTCATCATACTTTACCAGAACCAAAATGGTATCTTGGCCATGTTGGATGAAGAGTGCCTGAGGCCAGGGACTGTCACAGATGAGACCTTCTTGGACAAATTGAACACAATCTGCGCTGAACACCAGCACTTTGAAAGTCGTCTTAGCAAGAATTCAAAGTTCCTCACCGACCATAGTCTGCCACACAACTGCTTCCGCATCCAGCACTATGCTGGCAAGGTACTGGTGATATTGCCGAACAATATAAGATGTATGGATGGATATAATTTCATGAAGTTTGCTCTTTTGTTACTGAATTTGAAGAAACCTTATAAAACGTGTTATCTACTTTGTACAAAGGTGCTGTACAAAGCTGAAGGCTTTGTTGACAAAAACAATGATCTGCTATACCGGGACTTGTCACAGGCCATGTACAAGGCCAATCACAGCCTCATGAAACAACTCTTCCCTGAAGGCAATCCTGCCAAAGTAAACCTCAAACGACCACCAACTGCTGGATTCCAGTTCAGAGCATCTGTTGGCACACTGATGAGCAACCTGCAGACAAAGAACCCCAATTACATTCGGTAATTTTTATTTATCATTATGCAGTTTTGTTAAATATATACTGTTAAAAATCACATTTTATTACAATTACATTCCTGTAGCTTTTTATAACTTATGCTACCTTTTTTATTTTATTTTTTTTCATGTTTTCATGGTCACATACCATCTAAATCCTGTTTTAGGAAAACTATTATAATTAAAAGCTCAATATAGTTTTTCCCTTTTCTCAGATGCGTCAAGCCCAATGACAAGAAGGCATCTCACATCTTCACCGAGGCCCTGGTCTGCCATCAGGTGCGCTACCTAGGTCTGATGGAGAATGTTCGTGTGAGGAGAGCAGGCTACGCCTTTCGTCAGGCCTACGAACCCTGCCTTGAACGCTACAAAATGCTCTGCAAAAAGACTTGGCCACACTGGAGGGGGCCTGCCAGGTAATCGGTGGCACTAGATGACATTTGTTTGAGGCATGAAAAGAGACTTGTTTCTGGCAGATTTTCAAAAACAAATTAAATAAACATTTATTTTTTTATTTTGAGAAACTGAGTTCAGATATAAAAAAGGCTCCCTGTTGTCTGTAGGTGATTGATGAAAGATCAGACTACAGTACTCCCATTGGTAATCACTTTTAGAAGCTGCTGCTGTAGTTATTTCCCAGGTGTAATTCTGTGGTATTCAATGGAAAAGTGATTTTTTTTTTTTAAACATTTGCTCAAAGATCTAATGGTTAACAGTGTTAGTCATACTTATGCATATAAATCCTAAAATTGTAGTTTAAGCTAAGTGGGGAAAATAAAAACTGTTTCAAAATGGCATTCATATTGTGACTGGTGTACAACTTCAATACGTCATGCATTTGCTGGGCGGGGGGGGGGGGCAAAAACAAATGATTTGGATGTCTACACATCGTTAAATTATCCATCTAATGTTCTCACAATAACATAAGCAGCCATGTCACGCATCGGTTCATTGTTCTGTAGAAATTATCTATTCCCTTTCTGAATCCCACAACATGTCGAGACGTTTCATCCTTATCTTTTTGTTCCATATCAGCCAGACTCTGCCGTTTCATCCACCGTGCTAGCCAAATCATCGATTCCTATCTGCCCTGCCAAATGTTGGCATCTTGTTTTTCTGCTGTCTCTGAGCACTTTGTAAGATTATAGCCTTTGTCTGTCCTCGCATATTTCTCAAACATGTCGGGGTATTTTTTTATTTTTTTTATCAGTCTTTCCCAAGCTCTTCATCCTCAAGGTTCTTTAACCACATTTTTGCAAATCTTGGTGGGGATTTTTATGACCACCTGTTAATTGTGCTTTAGGTGGTTTTATTTGATTCCTTTAATATCCTACAGGGAAGGTGTGGAGGTGCTGTTGACGGACCTGCAGGTTCCAACAGAAGAGTTCTCATACGGCCGCTCAAAGATCTTTATCAGGAACCCAAGAACGGTACAGATAAACTTTATAATGAATACATTCAGCCTACTGACCTAATCTCTTTGTTTTGTTTCTCCAACAAGTTTTGACATCTGCTTGGTATTTGACTAGATTAAACTGTTTCAAAGTCTAAAAGTTAAGTCCTGTGTGCACAACTGGCTTGTTTTCTCACAGTAAGATGTTTGCAAAGCAGGGTGGGCTGCACTCTGAGTCCCTCCATTTCAGCAATTAGCATGCAACCACTACTCTAAAAACACATGGTTTCACTTAAATACATAACATGGGAAATGAGTTGCTCTGTGCTTGCCGGCTCCTCTGCTACTTAAGCCTGCAGCATTTAAATGTGTGTTCTCTCCCGCCAGCAAAAGACCAAACGAGCTTAAAATAACATGATCTCACACTGAGATTTTTTTTTTCTTTTCTAATTGCTTTTGCTCCATCTGATCAGCTTATCTCTTTCACAAATCTGCAGCTGCAGACTCACAGAGGAGAACTGATTGTAATCCTGGTTTCCAGATATTATTGCTGCGCATTTAGTGTAGACACACCTAACATAACTTGAGGCTCACATACTCAGGCGTACTTCACTTTGCAGAGGTCCTCTCGTACCGGATTAGACTCGACGTGGACTCAAAGCAGATGCCCACAAACCATGTCCGCAAAGATCAGTTTTTACGTGCGCGTACTCTGTCGCATAATAAACTGCCCGGCGACGGACTGTTTTGTATGAAACACCAATGTATTAAATTCCCCTCATCCCTGGTCTGGTTTAATGGCCTTTTCTTGTTTTGTTTTTTGTTTTTTTGCCAAGAGGCAAGCGATCTCTTCCTCCTCGTCCAAGGCCAGTGCTCTGTTTTTTTTTTATTATTTTTAGAACTTTTAGCACATAAACGCATAAACACAGAACACTGCTGCCGCTGCTCCTCGGCTGCGACCTATCAATCAGTCTAGTAAGCATCTCAGCAAATGACCAATCGGCGACCTCGGTTTGTCCCAAAGGTAAACTCCCCTTTCCTGCGGAGCTGGGCTGCAGCCCATTAGGGTGTACCCTCGAGTATGAAGTCTCAACTGTCTGCGGACAGTGCGCGCAGTGTCCATGCATCTCGAGGAGTACACATAGTATGAGTATGTGGGAGTCTTTAGTGTTTAATACATGGAAACTTGGAACAAGACATGGTGCCACCAAATGGGTTAAAAAAAATAATTTTTAATTAATTGCTGAATTAGTATTTTCTCAGACTGAAGAAGGTAGTTTGTATTGACTGAAATGCCGATTTTTATTCGCCAAGAGATGGATTTTCAAAATACACATTGTATAAAAGTGTGCTGCTTTGTGCATTAAGTTTTTTATATTCTTTGTGTAGCTCTTTTTCTTGGAGGAAAAACGGAAGCAGTGCCTAGAGGACCTTGCAACTCTGATTCAGAAGATCTACAGAGGCTGGAAATGTCGCCGTCAGTTTCTTCTGCTGAAAAAGAGCCAGATCGTGGTAGCAGCATGGTACCGCCGATACGCGGTGAGCCAGTTTTTGTAACAAAGTGACATATTTATAGACTCGGGGGACTTTTAAGGTTTGTCGACTAAATGTTTTATTTTTTTCTAACAGCAACAAAAGAAGTACCAGAATATCAAGAAGGCAACAACTGTGGTGCAGTCATATGCCAGAGGGTGGCAGGTAGGCAGATATCCATTTTATTTTATTTTTTTTTACCCCAATAATGACAAATGTATATTTTAAGCACATTTCAGAACATCCAATGTTCCATTACAAGATAAATACAACAAAAGCAAGGTAGATAAATACACAAAATAAACCGATTGAATCCTACAGCAACTGCTAAAACAGGATCAGTTGTAAGAATATGTAGAATTAATTTTAGCAGAAGAAGTCATGAATCATGATGAGCAATAAAAACAATTCCCTTCCGTCCTCTAGGCCCGCAAACTCCTGAGAAAGCTAAAGCACGAGAAGAAATGTGAGGAGGCAGTGACCACGATCTCGGCTTACTGGCATGGCACACAGGTACAGTGAAAGCTCTAAAGTACAAAAAAGGGAAGGGCAGTGTGAGCGTTCACCTGGCTATTCATTAAAACTGGAAAAGACAACACTATGGCTGTTAACACTTTTTTTTTTTCCATTATCTATCATTCCTGCTTATAGACATCACAGTATTGCTAAGCTTTGGATCTTGAAGCTCCTTTTTTCTGTTTATTTTAAATTTCCCACTTCCCATAATCCTGTTTCTTTTGATGATCACACAACTGCTTCTCATCTTCTCCCTCTTGCTCTCAAACTTTTCCTTCTCGATTTATCCCTCCGCACGTCCTCAACTTGTCCTACCTCGCACCCACTACATGCCACCAGGCTCGGATGGAATTAAGACGTCTAAAGCAAGAAGTGCGGAATAAACGTGCTGTGACAGTAATTTGGGCATACTGGCAGGGAACCAAGGTATTTCCACCCAGCCATAGTGTGTTGCCGTCTCGGCTGTCTTGTATTGCTGTTCATAAATGTCCCATCCCGTTCTAACTATGAAAGTCTTGTAGCTTAGCACCTCTGCTGAGTGAACCTAATATGCGTTTGTTTTGATGTTTCTTTTGTGTTAGAGCTGTAGATTTGTCCAAGCTATTCTTTTTTAGCTATCCTAGTTGAACCTTTATGTGGTTTTAATGTCTTGCACTTCTTTAATCAAGTGAGAAGTTCATACTTTAGCAACTGCATAGTTGCTTATGTAATCATCCCTAGCTCCCTACTTGTAAAGAATGTACTTTAGCGGATTCTATACTTAAAAGGAACTAAATCAAATGTTGCATCTGCACAAATGTACTTTATTGTAATGTTCTTAATGTGAACTAGAAACGAGAACAATAAGTGTTCTTCCATTTAAGTTTGAGGTTCTTTGTCATTCACATCACATGTAGTACATGAGGTGGGACAAAATTGTGTACTTAAGTTGCACCCAAAAATAGCAAAAATACAGGTGCTGGTCAAAAAATTAAAATATCATGAAAAATTTTATTTCAGTAATTCCATTCAATAAGTGAAACTTGTATATTTTCATTTATTACACACAAATTGATACATTTCAAATGTTTAATGTTGATTATAACTGACTACTAATGAAAACTCGAAATTCAGTATCTCAGAAAATTTGATTTAGACCAATAATTTTTTTTTATTTTTTATTTTTTATTTTTTTTTAGAAATGTTGTCCAACTGAAAATTATGAGCATGTTCAGCACTCAATACTTAGTTGGGGCTCCTCTTGCCTGGATTGCTGCAGCAATGTGGCGTGAAGTCGATCAGTCTCTGGCACTACTCGGGTGTTATGAGAGCCCAGGTTGCTCTGATAGTGGCCTTCAGCTCTTCTGATTTGTTGGGTCTGGTGTATCGCATCTTCCTCTTCACAATACCTCATAGATTATCTATGTGGTTAAGGTCAGGCAAATTTGCTGTCCAATTAAGAACAGGGATGCCATGGTCCTTAAACCAGGTACTGGAAGCTTTGGCACTGTGTGCAGGTGCCAAGTCCTGTTGGAAAAATAAAATCTGCATCTCCATAAAGTTGGTCAGAAGCAGGAAGTGCTCGAAAACTTCCTGGCAGACAGCTGTGTTGATTTTGGGCCTCAGAAAACACAGTGGATCAACATCAGCAGATGACATGGCACCCCAAACCATCACTGGCTGTGGAAACTTGACACTGGAACTCGAGCAACATGATTTCTGTGCCTCTCCTCTCTTCCTCAAGACTCTGGGACCTTGATTTCCAAAGGAAATGCAAAATTTACTTAATCAGAGAACATAACTTTGGACCACTCAGCAGCAGTCCAGTCTTTTTTGTCTTTAGCCCAGACGAGATGCTTCTGACACGGTCTCTTGTTCAAGAGTGGCATGACCCAAGGAATGAGACGGCTGAAACCCATGTCTTGCATACGCCTGTGCGTGGTGGTTCGTGAAGCACTGACTCCAGCTGCAGTCCACTCTTTGTGAATCTCCCTCACATTTTGGAATGAGTTTTGTTTCACAATCTTCTCCAGGGTGTGGTTACCCCTATTGCTTTTACACCTTTTTTCGTTTTTTTCCCTCTTCTACCACATATTTTCCTTCCCTTTGCCTCTCTATTTATGTGCTTGGACACAGAGCTCTGAACAGACAGCCTCTTTAGCAATGACCTTTTTTGTCTTGCCCTCCTTGAGCAAGGTGTCAATGGTCATATTTTGGACAACTGTCAAGTCTGCAGCTTTCCCCATGATTGTGTAGCCTACAGAACTAGACTGAGACCATTTAAAGACCTTTGCAGGTGTTTTGAGTTAATTAATGGATTAGTGGCACCAGGCGTCTTCAATATTCTAATTTTCTGAATTGGGGATTTTCATTAGTTGTAAGTTATAATCAACATTAAAAGAAATGAGCATTTGAAATATATTGGTCTGTGTGTAATGAATGAACATATATACAAGTTTGACTGTTTGAATGGAATTACTGAAATAAACTTTTTCATGAGATTTTAATTTTGTGACCAACACACATATTAAGAAAATGGTGTATCGATCTAGGATATATGCTAAACGCCAATAATGTAAAATAATATGGTATATTAAACAGCAGCCCGCACATGAGTCTGTAGTGCCGTAAAATGTAGTGCCCTATTCATGCCCTAAAATTTCAGCCTCAATTTTTTTGGTGTTTGTACCCTGCTTTTTAAAAGGTTATTTCATAACTCAAAATGCTTTGAGTGACTGGTCTGCACAGATGACTGTCAGTTTAGTGCCTTTACTTTTAATATGGCGATTTTTCAACTTTTATGAATTGTCTGTTTACTTTACATTACATATAAATTGCAACTGATTTTATTATGTTTTTTAACTATACAAGTCATGCATATATAAATATAGGTAAAACGAACATAACCAGTGTAAATATAGGTAAAATGAACATAACCAGTGTAAAAGCAATGAGGGTTCACGGGCATAAAATATACAATTATGCCACCGGACTAATCAAGATTGCATCATCTGAGAGATTCTCAGTAGTTACATGATCATACTTGGGTTCTGAACCAGCTAGAATCGACTATGTAAATCGATCTGTTTAAATTAATTTCTAATTTTAGGCTGGCAGCCCATTTCAAAAAAAGATGACACAGTAAAAAGAGTAACACTTTAGTGATTTTATAATTTTTACATTAAAACATGTTTTACATAAAATATGCATAATTGTTTTTATAAGCTTTTGCTGCAAGCATGACTTAGGATGTCATTTTTAAGTTTTTACTTTTTGTCATTTTAATTTGGAAGATTTAGCACTGCAGTCGCACCACAATACTTTGTTTTTAAATGTACAGCTATTTATGCTTGTTAAAAAAAAAAAAAAAATACAGAAGGATGTGGTCTTGAATAATTCATAGGTTTGTAGTAATCGCATCAGAAGAATAAATGACCATCAAAGGTGCTGATAATTCTTCACCATTGTTGAGCCAGACATTTGGATTTTTTTTTTTTCTCTCAATGTGAGGAGTGATTTCCATATTTGTTTCAGAGGACACTGTGTCCATTGTTTTCAGAAAAGGCGTTGTGAAAACTTTGTAAGTAATGTAGAGAAAAGTAAGATTATAAACTTAATTTCTGTTTCTACTAAAAGCTCTAAGTGATTTAGGATGATTGTGTTGAAGATGGTTCCGTTTTTACCATCTGAACTTTGGAATATTTAAAGTCCTATTTCATGGAAGCATTTTAATGACTCTTAAGATAATCTTATCTATTGATTTTCTTTGTCGACATGGTCATAAAAATTAACCCCTCGTTTTGAGGAAATGATCTCTCTAGAAGTCTTTTGATTTCAGTGTTTCCTCATTACATCTTGTCACGCCCACTGTTCTGAAGTAATAAAGTTTTGACTGTCCCTGAAATAATCCTCAACTTCGACTGCTGCCACTTTTCATTAGGCCCGGAGAGAGCTGCGTCGACTAAAGGAGGCGGCGAGGAATAAACATGCCGTGTCGGTCATTTGGGCCGGCTGGCAGGGCACCAAGGTATTTGGAAGGCCTGTTGACTTGCAGTGACTGACTTGCCGCCTCCTTTGACTCCTGTTCCCACCTCCCCATTGCAGAAAAATGCCTTGTCATATCCATCAGCCTGCTCAAGTCCATTCAAAACATTTGTTTAATGATGCAAGAAAAATGTACATCTTATCACACAGTTGCTTAAGTGATAAAGGTAGCCTTAGAGATGGGAACAAAGTGTTTTGGGAGTCTCTTCATCTCTGAATTGTATTACGTTGATGAGAGACTAGTCTTTTTTTTAATTTAAGTTGTTCACCTTTGTCCTTTTTTAACCACCGCATGCTGCTTGTTCTCACCCTCTGATTGTCACTAATGCATGTTTAGTCTTTGCAACACATTTTGCTCTTGTAGACAAAACTGCCTCGATTGTGACTTTTGTTCAGCACTTAAATAATCAACTTTATTTCCCTCACAGAAAGTTTCAGATGTCATCTGACCAAGTTCTATATTCATTTCTAGATGCTGGACCAGTTTGGCTAGCTTGTCAAAGGTCACAAAAGAGCTTGTGTGCGTGTGTTTTCCGCTGATCTCTGACAGAACAGTGTTTGCCGCCTCTATTTTCTCTTATCTTCCACTGCTTCATTTGTTCCCGCTCTTTCTTCCTGCTTACCCCCTGAACAGGCCCGCAGGGAGCTCAGGAGACTGAAGGAGGAGGCCAGGCGTGAGCATGCTGTCGCTGTGATTTGGGCCTACTGGCAGGGACTCAAGGTACCCACCTGCCCCACAGCGTAGCCATCACCATCACCTGCCAACTGCTCCTCACCACTGATCTTCTGTCTTCTTCTATTACTGTACTCTTCTGAAAAAGCAGTCCATGTTCACTGATGGGACCACCTATTACTCGCATTAAAAATTATACATTTCTTGGCAAACCTCATAAATCTTTTAAACAGGATTGGTTTTCTGTTAAATACTAAAATAACATGATTTAAATAATTTTATGTTGATAGAAGATGGGCCTGTCACGATAAATTTTGCTGGGCGATAGTCTCAGAAATGATTGTGCTAAACAATAATATTGTTTGAACTTTGACAATAATTAGTAATGTCAAATTTAAGAAGAAATGTTCATTTGTTTTGCATGTAGTACATTTTTTCGACCACCGGATGGTAGTATGAGACTGTTTGAACCGAAGGATGTTGGCTTAGCTTAGCTTGTAGCTTAGCTTCCCAGTTTAGCTACTTTGCAATTGTGGATAGTTAAAACATTTTAAAGAGAAAGGGAGGAGTCTGTGAAAAGCACCCGAGTTGAACCTTTTGTCATCCAATGTCTTCAGTAGATGGAGAGATGAAAAAGCTGATAAATGAAAATGTCAGTAATTTTCATTCATCATGTGATTAATTGATTTATTTATTGCGACAGGCCTAATAGAAGAGATGATCTTTAAAATTAACAATAATTTCAGTATTTATTATTTTTAATTATTATTGCAATTCAGGTTCCCATTGACCAGCTGATCTTGAAACTGGACTTTGCACATGAATGCATGAACATGGTGTTGTAGGACAATTTGATCTTAGTAGTTTCATTCATTTTCATTCCAAAGTGATTTTATTTTTCAAACGATGTACTAACTTTATTTCCAAGACAAAAGAATCATAAAATTACGTTTGATGTTTAAATTGATCAATTTCTTGTAACAAACCAAAGGTTTATGAGACCTCTTATCAAGTCTTTTTGTCATAGCGATTTCTTTATTGGCATAGTTCAATAAAAACTTAAATGTTCAAAGTTTAACTTTCCTGTACAATCTATTTATTTTAGAGCAGAGTTGTTTTTTTTGTTTTTCTTCACTGTAGTTTAAGATTGAGAATCGTAATAAAGTGATTTGGCTGAGACGGTTTCATCAGTTTAAAAATCTTCCTCTTTCTGCAGCTTCTGTTTCTTTTAAACTAACCCCAGTTTTTGTGTGTGCCACTTCATTTGTTCTGCTTTTTGGTTCTTTCCTTGTAGGTGTATGTCCAGTTTTTTGTTTTCTCCTCTTGACAACTGTCTGTTTCGTTTGGTTTTAGATGTAAAACTCGTCCATTCTGTCATTGCAGTGTTAATCCTTTTCATCATGATAATTGACCACAGTGTGCCTGACAATGTGCCCATTTCTAAATGTGTTGTGAAGGGCAGCATGAAGGTTGTTGGTCATAACTATTATCACCTTTTCAGTAATTAATTTGAAGTGGTTGTGAACTCGGTCTGATGGAAATGTATTTTTGTTCCAATTTTTGTCAGTAACTAACAAAATGGCTGCTTAAGTGTGCAGTTTGTCGTCCTTCAGTGTGCTCCCCTTCAGTCTTACTACAAATCAAACTAAGCCAGGGTGTGGAAATCTAACAATTTTTTTTTATTTATTTTTATGCTTGTGCTCGAACAGGTCCGCAGAGAGTACAGGAAATTTTTCAGGGCAAATGCAGGCAAGAAGATCTACAACTTTACCATCCAGAGAATTGTAAGTATGACTTTTAAAGGCACTCATTGCAAAGAATGGGGTGGGGGGTATCCTGAACTATGGTACAGTTTGGACGAGTGTAGTTTAGTGTTTTTTCCCAGATATATTGACATGTGATCTGCACTCCATTTAAATGAACCATTCGACTGAAGGCTTTAACCATGAAGAACAGGGCTATTCCGCTGGAGGCCTGCGGGCCATTTCCGGCTTGTGGGTGACTTAAATCTGGCCCACTTCATTAAAAAAAAAATTATTTTATTTTTCAGAGGTTCAGTTTATTGCATTCATGATTCAGTGCAATACAATTTAAAAGGCAGCAGATCATTGTAAGCTTTGGTTTATTTACAAAATGATTTTAATCACTGGATGTCCACCCCCCGAGCTGTTGGCTTTCATTTCCATTTCAAAATGGTGGATGTTAAGTGTGGTTTTAGCTCTTTAGTATAGCATTTTTCACACAAATCTATGCAAAAATAAGCTGAGAACTTGTTTACGGATTTTTTTTTTTTTTTTTTTTTAGTCAGAGAAAAACAAGTTTTTACACGGAGGCACAAATTTCAACCATGAATTTTGGAGCTTCGACAAGACTGAGGTTTTTTTCCCTGAATAAAGCCAATAAATGAAAATAAGGCTGATAATGTCCTTTTTTTTTTTTTTTTTTTTTTTTTTTTTTTTTTTTTTTTTTTTTTTATCATGCGATTAATTGGTTTATCATGACAGACCTAGTTGAATAGCCCTGATGTGGAACATGACTGACCTCCGTTAGACTGCCTAAAATTATAGGTAAATTGCAGCAGATTCACCCTTACGCTTGCTCCTAAATGTCTGAGATCGCTGTCCGATTCTGCCGTACCAAAGACAACTGTCAAATATATCTATTGCCGACCAAACAAGGTGCTGTAGCACCATTAAAGCAGAGCTTGGCATTGGAACATGCTCAGCTGTTTCAAACTTTTTTTTTTTTTTTTTTAAACCGGCATGTTTAATTCCTAATTTTTATTTCCCTCTACTAGTTTATCTGGAACATAATTTCACTCAAGAAATCAAGCAAATACAAACCATCATATCAAAATTGCCAGAATATTTAGTTTCCGTATTTCAAAACCAGTGACACTACCATTTTGTTGACCCCTGCGGCCGTTTCTGTCATAAGTGGCGGTTGACGAGATCACACATTTAGCTGACAAATTATGAATTTTGGGACACTTCAGTGTGAGAAAAGTTGTGCACAATGTATTAGTTTATTGATTGATTTCAAACAAGATTTCATTACTTGGCAATGAGTACCTTTTTTATTTGTTTTACTCTCTTTTTACTTTAAATAAACCCAACTGAATTTCCCCATGTGTTTGTCCAGATGCAAAAATACTTCCTTGACCTGAAGCACAACATGCCCCCCATGTCCCCCATAGACAAGAGCTGGCCTCCTCGGCCTTACTTGTTCCTGGAGGGAGTCCACACAGAGCTCAAGAGGATTTTTCATCTCTGGAGGGTTCGTCTGTCACATTCAGCCAGCTCTGCTTGTTCCTCCTTTTAAACTGTCAATGTGAATATTGTCTACTACAGTGTGTGGAAACCAACAATACTGAGAAATAGGATATATATATTTTTTTGTGTGTATATATATATATATATATACACACACAAGATTTTCTGTCTGTAGTTTATTTATTTTGACTTGTGGTGTGAACAGTGCAAGAAATACAGGAGCCAGTTCACAGAGGAGAAAAGGGCAGTGTACGAGGAGAAGCTGAAGGCAAGCGAGCTCTTCAAGGATAAAAAGGCTCTCTACCCAAGCAGGTATTTTGGATTAATCCTTTTGTTTCACTCTTTAGATTACATGACCTCAAATATTTATCCAATTCTATAGTAGTAGATGGAAAAATCTCAATCTGACTTTGTCTTCTGCCTCAGTGTGAGTCAGCCTTTCAAAGGAGACTACCTGGAGATCAACAAAAACCCCAAATACCAGAAACTCAACAACGTTGTAGATGAGAAGGTTCTGCTGGCTGATGTGGTCAACAAAATCAACAGGGCTAATGGAAAGGTAAGAAATTATATTTTAGACTTTACAGCTCATAAAGCCTAAATAGGATCAGAACCTGTAGTCTCTTATATATGCTCACTTGTTAAAATAATCCTGTTTAAGCCAGCTGAATCTTGTGTGCTGGCTTGTTTGAAACTGGATGCATTTTTGTTCAGATTTGTAGCAGACCTTCACAAATTGCGTTTTTTTTTTTAATTTTTTTATTACGTTTTAAAAATTTATTGAAATTTTAAAAAAAATTAAAGCCTGTTTTACTTTATAACTCAAGCCACAGCCAAAAGCACCTTTGGCTTTTCCTGACTTATAATTTTACATGGTCAAGTTTCACAGTCTTTGACTCTTGATTCTTGTTTGCAGGGTTCGGCTCGAATCCTCCTGCTAACTAAGAGGAGTCTCATATTGGCTGACCAGAAAACGGGGCATGTGAAGGCCAGCGTCCCTCTGGCAGACCTTGCCAGTGTTTCAGCCAGTACACAAGCTGACGGCTTCTTTGCTCTGCAACTTAAAGAGGTGAGAATACAACTATTCTGACACATAGCTGTAATGGAGTTGAACATTGTTTTCTCTGTGGGACTGTCTTGAGTTAATAATAAAGTATGCATCTTTTCAAAGTAAATCAAAAGTCTAGCATTTATGATAAAATGCATATTACCTGCTTCTTTTTATGCAAGACTTCTTATGTGGGGAGCAAATGACTGTTTTAGATATTTTGGTTAAATATTTAAAAGATCACTGTGGTCTTGTGGAATAGTGTGAGATGTCTTGCAATGCGTTTGTAAAAGTTTAGTCCTTTTACATCAAATTTTAGCTCAAGATCTATAAGTGACTGAATTATAGCCATTTTAGCTTTGTCTAATGTTAAATAGCTGTGACTCATCTTGAATTGGGTTGACAAGTTAATTGTAGATGTTCATCAATGGTATGCTTTAAAAATTAATATGTTGTAGAGGTATATCTAATTGTTTCCTGAAAGTTTCATTAATACCCCGTTCATGAGATATTTAGTCTGTTCCAACTCAACTAGCTGATAACATTTTAAACGAAAATCGTGCACGATCTGTTAGCATTCATATGTGAAGGAGATCAGTATCTGCTTCAACCACGCCAAATTTTAGGGTAATATATTTAAAATTCATTAAGTTATAGCCAAATGTTTTTAATATCTTAGTTGTGGCTGCCATAGGGTTGTTTTGTTGACGTGCATAATTATGTTCTGAAAGTTTCATTAACTTTTCATCTTGGTTCAGGAAATGCATTTTGAGAACAGACACAGACAATGGTAAACGTTTTCTCCCTAATCCAACAAAGTTTGGTCAGGTCATCTAGACATTTTTTTTTGTTTTTTTTTTTTTGGAGACGTTTTGTCCTTCATCTAAAAGACTTCATCAGTCTAAGGAACCACAACAAACTCGGTCCCACAAGCAGCACACTCGCATAGTGGGCCAGCCAGTTTGCTGGTGATGAGATGGTTTCTGGGGCACGTCCTCTCCCCCGTCAACTTCTCCCAGGCAGCTATAGCCAAAATGGTTCAAAACATCAAAGTTCATGCTCAATAATTCAGGTAGAAAATCAAAGTTCATGCTCAATAATTCAGGTAGAAAATCCAACAAAGTTCAGTTGGGTCATCTGGACGTTTTTGTTTTTTTTTTCCCTTGAGACATCAACATTTATTTTTTATATATTTTTTTTACCTAGATTTTTGAGCATGAACTTTGATTTTCTCCCTAATCCTTTTGCGATGGTGACAGTTTGTCATAGGTGTTCTGAGAATTTGTAATTTACTCATCTTATAGAATTTATTTATTCATTTATTTTTTCATTTATTTATTTATTTGTTCTACCAGGGGTCTACTTCAGCTGCTAAAGGAGACTTCTTGCTCAGCAGTGATCATCTGATTGAAATAATCACCAAACTCCACCGGGTCAGCGCCTCGTTTTCAGAGAAGGAGCCAATCGGCCTCGACATATCTGATGAGTAAGATGATTCCAATGTCATTGTCAAAATATTTCATCTTCCCTCATGGTGAAGTTTGTTTTAATGTATTGTGCTCCGCAGGTTTCTGGTGCAGTTTAAACATGACAAAGTGTGCATCAAGTTCATCCAGGGCAGCCCAAAGAACGGCAACAATGCGTCCTGCAAACGTAAAAACAACCGCCTGCTGGAGGTGTCAGTTCCCGTATCGCCCTAATGCCGTCACACTCTCCTCTGCTCCTGCTGATCTTCACACCTTCTCAGTCTGGAGGTGAGACTGAGCACCAAACTCCAACACTCTGGACTCAAAATAATCACCACATTGGTCCTAACCATGGGCCCAAACATGTGCAGTTATTTGGCTTATCAGATTTATTATGATGCCGCTATAGCTGAGAAAATGTGCCACTTTTTTTTGGCAAAGAAATCCCTAATGTGGGTTGCATGCCATAGAAATTTGGTGTAAAGAGTTGATGCTGGTGCACAAGACTTTCTGTACACTGGTAGTGGCGTCACTAACGATTGCTCTGCCTGTATAGTAAATTTAGTTTTCAGAGAAGATGTCCTAAAAACTTGTTTAGGAGCCTCAAAAGGTCCAGGCTCATCTGCTTTTAAGCAGCTGGCTTAAAATTTGAGATGACTTGTGACAGGATTTGGGCTTGGCCTGTAATATTTAGTTCTCTGACAAACTTGAATGCTGCACTTGGTGTTTCCTCTGTAACAAACTGAGGATGAGCTGACAACTGAACTGATTGTATTTTGCATTTTCTGTTTTTCTTATGGATTAAAGCACAGTGGGCAGTTGTGTAAAAGATGAAGTAAAATGTGGTTAGATATTTTTTTCCATTCCTATGTGCCAATAAGCAGGTCTCCTCGATATACAATAATGGCAATCATCCTTTTTATATTCTGCTTTAAACAAATGCCAAAAATTAAAGCTTTTGAACAGGGAGCATATTAACCTGCAGGCGGTGTTAGTTCATTTTTGATATTGCACTACACATGATCCATTTTCCTCAGCTGAGCATTCTCCTTGTATGCAGTATATCCAAACTAACTCCATACCATTAAATTGTACTGTCTTAAAGTTCAGGATGCTGACAAAGACATGGGTCACAGGTAAATGTGGTTCTCATATTTTAATCGGTTGCAAGTTTTTCCTCCACTAAAAATCTTGGAAGTGAAAATTTGTGTGCAATATTATCTTAGTTGTTTTTGTGGCAAAATGGTTGAGAACCATAACGGTTACGCTTCCTGTGCCATAAGCTGTATATACGCTGTAGCCATGACTTTGACTGAGGGTTGTTTTTACTATTCAAATTTTCATGTTTGTAAAATAAAATGTAAGCTTTTGCCACTGCAGCTTGAATTATCGTACTGCTTGACCCACCTGACCTAAGGGAAATGACCAAATATTAAGTGCACATGACTAGAGAGTGCTGATCTATCAACATAAGTTCAGAAGTTTGAGCTTTTACCTGTGCTAAAATCAGGTGACTTATTCACACAAAAGCCAAATTTGAGTATCTAAAATGAAAGTGCTGTATTTTTGTGCATGTTGAGTAAATTACATTTAAAGATGTCAAAGTAGAGAGATTTGTACTTCTGGTGACTAAGGGGATTGAAAATAATGTTTTAAAGATGGTCATGTCAATGTTTGAAATCAGGGCTATCGGTGTATAAATTAAATATTGTTTATGTAACAACACAGGGAATTTGGTTTTCATGATGACTCTGAATGACCGTTCTGGTGTTTTTGTTTTTTCGACTGCTCTGGTCTAGTTTTTGTTGTCTTGGCAACATCTTCCTCACGACTCTCTTCCCCGTTTTTTTGTATTTGACGTGTGGGTAGATCTGCGAGGTGACATCTGCAATCTTGTGTGCCTAATGTTAACCTGTGTTGAAAAGATGAAACGTGGAGATGTATTTGTAGAAGTCACTGCAACATTTAAAAGTATACTTTTAAAATTAAATAAAAATCATAAATGTTTGAATCTGTGGTTACTTTTTTTTTTTGTGTGCACATTTGTGCACTTTGTCAACTTTTTATGAGCTATTTGTGCATTAATGACCGTATTAAGAGTTTTAAGCTGCGTTGAACAGTTAAATAACTGATAAACTGCCATTTATCAGCCTCAACGGGAAGGGGGTGTGTTTTGTAGTTACTGAGGCTGGACATCTAAGCCTAATACTCAAGCAGTTGGCCAGATGTTTTCCATCACATCTGGGGGGAGCTATCCTGGGGTTAAATTCCGCGGCTTTGGAAGAGCTGCCGGCAACAGGTCTCTGGGGAGCAGCCCTCTGATTGAACAGAGTGGTAAAAATAGCATACCATTTTGGGCTGCCCAGTACCCAGTTCCCACCACTCTGCAGGCTGGGAAAGGAAGGCGGAGTCCCAGCCTCTGGGTGGGTTTTCTTCAACTCTGTGGAACCACAAAGGAATTGGACAATGCAGTCGCATTTCATGGAGGACCTGGAGTTCATCTGCAAACACTCATGCAGATCTGAATCCAACCAGTGTATGAAAGTGCAGCGCTTGGGACGTTCTGCTTGTTTTATTAGAGCATAATCAGTCTGGGGTGATGTGTATAATGCAATTGGGTTAACAAACAAAATGTTTTTGTTTCCATATATAATGACTGACTTGAATGTTTTAATGAAACATCGTCTTGATAAGGACATCAATCGGCTGACTTAAACATACGTGAGTGGGCACAAAAATCATGTTCGCCACTGTTAATATTAGTGACGCGAGTTTCTAGTGACATCTTTTGGGTTTTCAGCGATACTACACAAGATGCAACTAAACATTAAATATGATGAATGTCTTTGTAATTTAAAAAAAATTAAAGCCATTAAGTTAAAATGTGTAATGCACCAGAATTTTCATTGTGTGACAGCCCTGCTGTTTCTGTTACTGACTTTAGGTTTTAGATTAAAAAACTGAAAAAATGCACCTCTTTGAAATGCTTGTGTGTATTGATCAGGTAAATGGAAGTGTCAGCAATCAGTTGATTTGTTCTATAGTCGGAGAAAAATTGACAGAGCTATTGAGTCATGAGTTGCTTGAGGCTCAGTTTGACTTTACTCTTTAACACCATATTTTAAACTTCTTGTAGAAAGAGATGGAGAATGAGGGGAGGGGTTACTCAAACTGATGAGCACAGGTATGCATGACCGTGATAAAAAAACTGAATAACATGCTGTTTTTCTACTGAACTTCCACAAACCTACTATATACTTTGTTCTGATTTCTACAGAAATTGTTTACTTTGTATTTGGCATTAATGTATTTGCAAAAGAACTGCTTTTGTTACCTAACCCATCATCCATTCATTATCTTCCACTTTTTGCAAAGTCAGGTCACAGTGGCAGCACCTGAGAAGAGGGGCCTAGACATCACTTTCCACAGCCACCAATTCCAGCTCTTCTGGGAGGACTACAGGGTGTTCCCAGGCCACCCGAGTTTCTCCAGTGGATTCTAGGTCTTCCTCAGGGTCTCCTCCCAGTCGGACATGCCCAAATTACCTCCCTAGGGAGGCACCCAGGAACCATCCTTACCAGATGCCCAAATCACCTCAACTGGCTCCTCTGTGGAGGAGCAGTGGTTCTACTTGGAGTCTTTCCCAGATAACTGAACTTCTCACCCCATCTCTAAGGAAGAGTTCAGCTACCCTGCAGAGGAAACTCCCTTCAACTGCCTGTATATGCATTCTCGTTCTTTCAGACTCTACACAGACTTCGTGGCTATAGATGAGGGTTGGGACGTAGACCCACCAGTAAACGGCTCCACCTTACAGCTCTGCTCCTCTACTACAAAGGACTAGCACTGAACCCACTATACTGCAGATGCTGCTCCAGTCAATTTCATGCTCCATTCTTCAGTCACTCATGAACAAAACTATATCCTTGAACTCCTCCACTTGAGGCAGGCGTGAAAAGAGCAATCCACCCTTTTCAGACTCGGGACCATAGCCTCAGATTTGGAGGTGCTGATCCTAATCATGGCCGCTTCAGTTTGCTCTGAACCACTCCAGTGAGAGCTGAAGATCACAGCACAATGACAGGACAACAGGACCACATCATATATCAGAGATGGAATCCTGAGGTCACTAAACTCCCTCAACCTCCTGCATGCACCTAGAAATGATCTCCATGAAAGTGAACAGAACTGGTGATGATGGGCACCCCTGGCATAGTTCAACTCCCACCCTGAAGGGGTCCGACTCACTGATGGCAATGTCAACTAAACTCTTGCACCACTTGTGGTGTGCACAGTGTATGGGATTGGAGACCCGTTGCTACAGGCTGTTCGGATCATACACAACAGTGTAGCCAGAGGTACACGGTTGAATGTCTTTAAGTCCACAAAAATGCATGTAGACTAGATGGACTACTCCCATGACCCCTCAATGATCCTAATGAGTGTAAAGAGCTGGTCCAGTGTTCCATGGCCAGGAGGGAACCTGCACTGTTCCTCCTGGATCTGAAGATCGGATTTACTTCTCCAGTACCCCTGAATAAACCTTACTAGGGAGGCTGAGAGGCATGTCCCTATAATTTGAGCACGCCCTCCGGTCCCACTTTTGGACTAGGGGAACAACCACCCCAATCTGCCAGTCCAGTGGCACTACCCCTGATGTCCATGCCATGTTGCAAAGTCATGTCAACCAAGACAGACCCACAACATCCAGAGCCTTAAGGAAATTGGGACGGATCTCATCCACTCTCGTAGCCCTGATGCTGCAGAGCTTTTTATCTACCTCGGCGACCTCAGTCACGGTTATGGACAGCCCAACCTTGAAGTCCCTGGACTCAGCTTCCTTGATTGGTTGAGGTCAACACCTTCACTGAATACGGTGTTCGTAAAGCTGCTTTCCTCTCAATGCCTGATGGTTTGCCAGAGTCACCTCGGAGCCGACCAAAAGTTTATATACAAGGCCTTACCGAAATCCTCCCACTCCTGAGCTTTTGCCTCAGCAACAGCCAAGGCTGCGGACCGCTCGGCCCTACATTACTCCTCTGCTGCCTCTGGAGACCACCAGCCAACAAGGATAAGATGACTCCTTCAGCCTTAACCCACCATTGTTTCATGAAATGTGGTTTACCATTTGCCTGTTGCCAAAAAAAGATGATCTGAACAGTAATGACAACTTATCATATTCACCACCAAAATGTATTAATTCATTGCACAAAGAACTAAAAGTCAGATGATTTTTTTATTTGGACTTTAGAGACCTGTATCTATAAAAGCTTGGTATGCTGCTTCCACCAACTCCACTTACTCTCACTGACCTTCTTTTACTGGAAAGGAGTTGTACTGATGTATTATGTACACTAGAGGACAGCCAAAACCAGCTTTTAATATAAAGATTATTTTCTTCATTCATTTGTTGCAGGTTTTAAACTCTATTTGACTTGAGCTCAGACTCATACTGAAGATATCAAGCAAACTATTAAGAAAATACATAAATCTTTGTCCTAGGATTTTTATTTTTAATTTTTTTTTTTTTTTTCTTTGACACTATACCAGACTGCTTCCATAACTAATTTAGTTA